GTTGAGGTACATTTGTCGTTGTACTTGTTGTTCTCATCATCCTCGTTCTCGTGTTGATTTGCGGTATATTATTGTAGTTTAAAGCTTGATATGCAGTATATAATTGTAGTTTAAAGCTTGATATGCAGTATATGATTGTAGTTTAAAGCTTGATTTGCAGTATATAATTGTAATTCAGAATATGTAACTGTAAGCTAGGGCATATAATTGTAATTTACTGTATTAGGATTGTAGTTTAAAGTATAATATTGTTATAATCTAGAGTATTCAGTTGTTCTTAAGTATACAATTATTAGAGAATACGATTGTAATCCAGGGCAGATAAATGTATCTTGATATTACAATATTAAGGGAAGCTATTAAACTGAAATTTTACACGACTGAATTTGCTGCATATAACTGCAATTACGTTCTGTAACTGTAATTAGCCTAGATACCTTTACTTAATGGTAATTTGTTCAAATCACCTAATTATGCTCATTACAGACTGATTTTTTCAAAGATTGTATAACAAACACTTTACTCATTTAAAGGCAGACGTTTAAGGCGAATAATCATAATATAGTGAGCAAAGACGTACATATAAATGAGTCGTTAGATTTACAACATTAAGGTAAAACTGTGACGTCTGAATGAGACAACTCGCGCTTTTCCCTTTGCCCTTTCACTATCCTTCTTCCCTTCCTCCCTTTTTCTGTTTCTGACCTTCATGACCCATTCTCAGGTGACTGTGTCTCGAATTACTTACGTAAGGAGATGTAGGTTTCCCAAGCCAGTCTGGTGGCCGCCGAGTCCGAAAGAAGTTCGTTGAGGGCCAGGCGGTGCGGCAGCTGTATGAGAAAAACGGAACTTATGCATAGGCTCGCATAAACTCAAGCAAGTTGTCTCTCGACTTGGGTAAAATTACATTGATTAATTTACTCAAGATATTTCATTATCTGAATACTTCTTACTTAGGAAATCAGTCATGCATTTTAAACAAACTTAAAAGGTAGACTGACCGTGAAGTTTGTGTCAAGGTCTGCTGTTGTATTAACAACTTGGGGATAAATGAGTTTTTCTGACAGACACTCAGTATGAGGTACATAAAGGTGACTCTCAGGGATCTTATCCTGGTTCCTTTTTTCACCGTCGTAGTAGATACCTGTGGAGAACGTCACACTTTATGTTCAAATGGCAGCAAAAATAATATTCCAATACCTCTAACGTGTCACAATTTTTCATCTAGGTAGAAGCCTCTATGCCTATTTCCTTACATTTTACAAGATTCAGAATTACAAACATGAATATTTTGTAATATAAAATAGAAATATGAGCATCCGCTGTTTCACCCAGAACCATGAGCCCTTTCTAGCCCTCGGGGCCCTACGCACGAGTAGGTGGGCGAGAGGTGTATTTATTCATTCATGATAAAAGCTTCAGCCGCCCCATGAGCCCACCGGGAGCCCATTTGGACAGCCAGTGTTATAGTGGTGGTCGATGCTTGAATTTTTGGGGGTAGCGCGAGTAATGATTACTATAGGAAAGATTTTATGTTTTTCTATGGATTGTGGATGGATGTGATGAGCAGGGCGGCACTGAGGAGAGATGACATCAAGGTGCGACAGCGAAATGAAGGAATGATTGTGTGGTTAAAGCGTTGCAGGGTAGTGTTCTGGTAAAGGAATGACAATATATTGCTAGAGTGAGGTTGTGGTTGAGTTATTGAAAAAGGGGTTGGTGGAAGAATTGCATGATAATTGAGTACCATTTCTGTTTTTTTCTCTGAAAATTATAATTTCAGGTGATCTGATTCCAAGAGTAATCATTTTACATATTCTTGTCGAAAAAAATCGATTGGATTTTTCTTTAGTGAAAGATGTGGACGATTGTTTTAATCGATTAATCCCGCCTCTACAATGGTGCATGTGCACAAAAAAGGGCTCTGTGCTCACCTGTGCCGTCAAAGCTGTGCATGAGCTCGTGAGCGATCATGTGCCCAATGCCAGCGAAGTTGATGTAATTGGGGACGTCGTCGCCATAGAAGAGCGGCGGCGTCATGGCACCGTACGGGATCACTGCAAGGGAAGCTCCAGTCAGACAGTGGCCGGAAATGAGAACACTGTGTACGCGTCTTTGCTCGCAATATGTGAACGCTATCTAGTGATTTATGCTATTCTATATGCATAATTTGTTGAACACAGTTTAGTTTATCATATCTTGTTATTTTATGCAAAAGGAGAGTAGTTAAAACTCACAGAATTTGTTCATGGCGTAGACGTAGGTACCGTAACTTTTGTAAGGTAGAAGGAACTGATTCCACCTGCAACAAGATAGTTGATGAAAGCACAAACCTAAAATCCTATTTTCCAGGTGTTCTGGGTAAGAACTGACCTTGAAGGCTGGCCTTGCTGCTAAGCGACGTCTTACACGCTCTGTAACACGCCGGGATCAATAGTGAACTTTGCCGAAAACTAACCACTCTAGCAGCCAATGACATAACAAGGCCGTGAAAGCACAGGTGCTGAACTAAAGTTCAAATCTGTGGCGGCAGAATTGACAAAGGTGCTTTTGGGCAGCTAACTTACTGTCTTCACTTTGATGAGATGTGGATATACTACTTACAGAATCCTTTGGCAAACCAATAGAATGAAATTGGAATCCATTGACTAGTATTGTCGAAAAAAATAACAGCAGATAAACTAATAAACAAAAGTTGCAAAATATTAAGTATATATCACTCGAAGGCCTACCTCTAAATTATAAACAATGAGGGGGAAAAAGTTACCGACTATCATAATGCTAAACTGATAATGACAACGAAGATGATGGCAATAATGATGATAACAATAGGGGTAATGATCATGATGGTAAGGATAGTTTTAATAATGATAATTATAGAAATAATAATTACATTAATAAAGGTAATAATGATAACAGCAATGAAAATGATAACATTAAATTTTGATAATCATGATAATAATAATAACAATAAGAAGAAAACAATTATATATGACAATACTAGTAACATTTTCAATAAACCTGCGCAGGCAACTTACATAACTTCCGGATTGGAGGGACCTCTTGTATACATACTGTATAAGTAAGATCTGTACCGCAGCAGGAGTGTCCGGCAGTCTTCAATGAAGTTCCCAGTACTATTCACCTAAAAGACAAGAAAACATTTTATATTGTCGTTTTTAGACGTGGTAGTAATGACTAGGGTTGGGAAATATATTTGCATTGATGACAATTACGTTTATCAAGATGATGATTTTTAAAAGAAAATATGATAGCCGTTATCAACTGCCATTTAGTATCATGTCATTCATTGCAACTCTCACTGCTACCATATTTGTAACGATAAACAGAATAATGATAAAGATATTCCATCATCATTATCGTTATCATTATTATTAGTATTGTAGTGATTATTATCCTTATTTTTGTTATTATCATTATTTTTGTTATTATCATTATTTTTGTTATTATCATTATTTTTATTATTATCATTATTTTTGTTATTATTATCATTATTTTTGTTATTATCATTATCAACCTTATCATCATTATTATTATTAGTAGAAGTAGTAGTAGTAATGTAGCAATAGTAATAGTATCATTATTGTTATTATTGTCACTCTTACTATTGTTATTATTATTATTACTGTTGAACTGTAATCGTGTTGACAAATGTAGAAAGGTATGAATAAGAATAAGTATTTCTGACGAAGATATATTCAAAACCGGTCAAAAGCATCTCTCGTATTGTGAAAATATTAATTTTCATCCATTCTTTTCTACATGATTATTGTTCTTGTTGGCATTATCATTACTTAATTATTGCTTTATTATTATTATTATTATTATTGTTATCATCATTATCATTTTTGATAATGATGATTATTACTATTTTCATCATTCCTATCATTATCATTATTATTATTATTACTGTATTATTGTTTTTATCATTATTATTATCATTACTTATCTATTTATGATTATCATTATCATTTTATTACTTTGATCATTATCATTGTAGTTATTTTTATTATTACTGTTCTTATCAAAATTATTATCATTATCATGACCACTGCTATTATCACCATTATTATTATTATTGTTATTTTTTTTCGCTTTTATCGTTGCTATTATTATTTTTTTCGCTTTTATCATTGCTATTATCATTTTTTCGCTTTTATCATTGCTATTATTATCATTTCATCATCTTTATTATCATTATCTGAATAATTATTGTTATAATCAATATTATCATTATTGCTATTGTTATCACTATAATTATCATTATTATTGGCTTTATTCTAATTATCATAACTATTAATATTATCATTATTATGATTATTATCACCGTTGTCATTATTATAATCATTATAATCATTAATACTTTTATTATTACTATTTTCATTATTGTCATTACTATTATTATCTTTATTTTCTCTTTATCGTTAGCATTATTATTATCATCATTAGTAGCAGCAACATTAATATTATCATTATATTATTATTACTACTGTCATTATTATTATGATGATTATTATCCTTATTACTATTATTATTATTATTATTATCATCATCATCATTCATCATCATCATCATCATCATCATCATCTTCATCATCATCATCACCATCACCATCACCATCATTATTACTTTTACCATAATCCTCATTATCATTATTATTTTATTACCATTAATATTATTACTATTATTTCTTATTATCACTATCATTAATATGAATACTACTATTGCTATTATTATCATTATCATTTTTATTATCCTAATAATAAGGATCATTATCTTCATACTATAATTATTTGTTATAATTAATTTATTATTATCGTCACTTTTATTACTTTTACGATTATCATTGTTTTTATCATTATCCTGCAAATTGTCATCACTATTATTATTGTCATAATCATTTCCATTATCATTATTGTTATTGGAGCAATGTGAATTTTTTTTACTTCGAATTTAACTTGATTTTTGTATCGCCTGCATTACCTACCGGTAATTGTCCCTCGCTTACGATAAACTGAAATATTTCCATCGAATGGTCTTGTCCTATAGCTTTTTACACCATTGAACTATTCATAATTAGTAATAACTGTATCTGGAAATATTCAGTTATAGCTAATTTGATTGCTATATACTGATTATTGCATATCGGTCGAGGATCACAAAATAAAAAAGGATGAGAACAACTACACTAGAGTCTTTGTGTGCAGTGCTGATGCTATCTTACCCCCATCATGCTCTGTGCCAGGATGTTTTTTGAGGTCTGGAGGTCCATCGTCTCGCCGGTCATTTTGCGCAGCTTCTCGACGAGCAAGTTGCTGGCCGAGGAAGGATGCGCTCGAAGGAGTTGCTCTTCGGCCGTCTTCTTCGTCAGTCGGACCATCGTGTTGATCTGCGAAGGTTCAGTGCAATGTTAAAATGACATCGGTGAGCCTGGATTCTCGAGTGGAGGGTCGAAGGACGATGTTCTAGTTGCAACAATCAGTTTTGCAGTAAATGTCCTTATTTTTGCTTTGACTTGCTTGATCGTCCGCCTCTACATGTATGCAGAGGCAAATAAAGAGAGAAACCCCCAGTCTATGTTTCAGTCACTGATACAAGGAGGAATGGCCACGCCACCTGTTGCTGATACTCGTCGAGGCTGGGTCCCAAGGCCTCCAGGTAGAGGTAAGACGAGAAGTCGTGCATGAGATTCTTGACGATGCGGAGGCAGTAGTCGGGAGAGCCCATGGCAACCCCGAGGGGGTCGACGAAGTCGTTGTACAGCTGTTCACTCCACAGCATCATGAACATGGCATGAATGTTGGATGCGCTGAAACACGATGAAACGACGAATAAGCTCGAGGTGGTCAGTGTAGACGGGAATATTACCTTTTGTCTCCAGCCCAATATTTTTCACACCTCACATCTTCAGATAGTTCGTTATAGTTTACTGCCATTATCATCATCATTCTACTGCAGATCACGACCCGTTTCCAGACAATGTCGACATATGCGGAACCTACTCGTAAATATTTTCGTTAACGTGCTCGATGATTCTCTGCAGCCTGTCTTTGAAGTAGACCTGCAACTTAATGGTCTTGGGGTCGGCGCTGATTCCCAGCAGATCGGATACGAGTTTGTGCCAGTCGATCTGAAGCAGATGAGTGTGAGTTAGGAAGGCGGTCTGGCTCCTCAGCTGATCTTCCACTATCTCAAAATACATGGCTTTGTACATATCAAATGTGTGTCTGTCACTGTGTGATTGTGCGTTCGTGTGAATGTTGTGTATGGGCGGGTTCGTACGCGAGCGTCTACATAAGAGTCCAAGGTCTAAACAAGTGTTTGTGTTCGCATACACGTGTATGCGAGTGCGCGCATGAAAGTGTGTGCACATAGGATTAAATCTCACATTCTCGCTGAATCCTTCCAAAGCCATCAACTCGGCTAAAGACATTGTGTCGTACTTCTTTTCCAAATTATGCAGACGGAATGTTGACTTCTCGGGAAATTCCTGTAAATAAATAGATAAATAAAAAGTAGAGTGCAAGGCACGGATGAAATGAAAAATGTATGCGTTTATGCAGGCTATCTTCATTTAAATATATCAGCATCGGCAGAATTACTAGCCTGCACAATTGGCGAATGAAGAAATCCAGGTCGATTATGACTTGATTGAGCCTTTGCGTCATGTTCACTTCAGTGTGATTGCCGATTAGATCCATGTTCTTCACCATTTCCTTCATTTTCATGTAACGATTCGAGCCTTTGCCTTTCCTCTGTAAGAGAAACACTAAGTTTTATCGACTCATGGAGATCTCTGCTTCATCACGCATGAAATTCTTTCAGCCATATCATTAAAGAATGAATTTCTACTCACCACACACTCGTTGTACTTGTCGTACTGTTCGTCCAAGTTGAAGACCCCGCCCCGCTGTTTGGCGGCTGCCAGCTCGGAGTGGTATTCCCCGACGCAAACCGTGTGCGGCAGATTCTCGCCGAAGGGTGAGGTGAACGTCGGGAGAGAGAGTCGGAGAACGAAACTGTCTGGATCATCGCCATCCACGTCTAACGTCAGGTCGAAGAGTGGAGTGCTGGTGGAAGCAAGCAATGAGGTGTATTGTCATGCTCTTTGCAGGAAGTCGATTCGATCATCAAATCCGCAAAGCTAGTACAAGTGCTACGAAGCTCTCCTTGCTCTTTGTACTTACAAATGCATCTTCATCATCGTAGTCAAGGTTTCGGTCAGGTCAAAAGCGCCCGTCCCGCTGGTCGCGTCGCACAGCGATTCAAGGGCCGAGAACACTTTCATGCTATCGCTCAGTCGCTCTAACACGCCCTGGTTGCTCGTCCGCAGACAGCCGTCAAAGAAGACCTTCGCAGCACCTAAGTCCGGGTCATCCGGAAGCACTGACGCGAGCTCTCCTGCCAGTCAACAAGTGTGTGGTTATTCTTCTCTGTGTGACTGTTTGCTTTACATGTAAATATTAAACTTAACCTTAC